CCCGGCTGGGCTTTAAGGCATCGCATCGCGCTGTAAGGCGGTCACTTCTGGTGAAAGAGCAGAGGTTTCATGCTGCCAGCTTTGAACTTGGGCAGCTGGTTGCTGATGATCTCGGCCAGCATCTCTGGAAACTCCACGCTCAGGGACTTGTTCACAAAGGTGTAGAAACAGAAGTTGAGGAGTCCCCCGACCAGCTGTGGAGACAGGAGGCCGTCAGACACCGTCGGCCGCTGGGAGCCTCGTCTCAGGATGGACACACCCCGGTAGCATGAGTGCTGTCCTTCCCTCCTATTCACGCCGGGAACTCTTCCCACAGAGAAGGTCACTGTCCCCCTTTCAGGCCCCCAATCAGACTGGCCAGGCCCACTCACCTCATGCATGGAGTCCAGAAGCTTTGTCAGCTGGTAGAACCTCTGCCAGTTCTGGCTGGAGCTCTCCTGCCGCCGGACTATGGCCTTGCCCAGTTCCTTGATGTAGGACATGCGGATCTCGTCAAACACAGCCTGGCTCTTCAGCCCTTCCTTCGGGACTGTGGACAGATGCACCCCGTGGTTAGTCAGGGTTTACGAGATGGGGAGCAAGATGCAGAGCTGGCAGTGGATGGGTGCTTAACACAGCAGATGCTAATAGGTTCCCAATACAGTCTCAGGCAACATGTATGCGCATGAGGCTCGACTGACACAGCAGCACGTGAGCTTATTACTGTCCGTAATTAGCAGAAGTAAAATGGCTTTCCGGTCACTACGGAGACGGAGCGGTGGCCCGGGGTCGCGTGTCCCTATGCAGATGGAGTAGTGTCCTAGGGCTCTGTGTCCCCAGGCAGAGTTAACGCCGTCCCATGGCCGTGTGTCCCTACTCAGACAGAGCGGCGGCTGGGCCTTACTGGTGCTCAGCAGCAGAAGCACCTTCATGCAGAGATACTCCTCATGGGACACCTGGAGCCGGACAAACTCGTTGGAGATCTTCAGCATCTGCTTGCACTGGTCGTTCATGTAGGGCAGCTTCATGCGTTCCCTTGGAGACAAAGAGATGGTGTCAGACGCAGGGCCAGGCCTGGTGTGACTGAGACCTGGTGTGACTGAGACCTGGTGTGACTGAGACCTGGTGTGACTGAGACCCACGCGACACTGTCTTCACTCACAGACTCCTAAGCAGTATTCAGGGCCCTCGTTTTTCATGCTCGTTACTCTGACTAGGGATTTCCCCCAACCACAAAGAGCCCCAGAGGTGACCTTTTAACTCTGAATATAGAAACAACACAACGGGACGTTTTTAAACTGGGTTATTAAACAGGCCCCCGAGTCACAGCGGAGCACAGGCCGGTGTGTAATTACAAGGTCATCCCAGACAGGCCATGACCGAGAGAGAATTACCATAAACAAAAGAGGCCAAGGTGTGATTTTACAGCAAAATACCTCTGGGGGGGGGCACCATCACAAATGTTAAAAGGAAGGGATTCATACTTCAATCATGACAGGGACCGGGTGCCATTATCTATTATGTAATAATTCCATCAGAGGCAGCACAGAGGGGAACTGAGGGTCACATTCAGCCAAAGGGGGTTTACAGTGATATCACAGCCGCCCTCACTGCAATGGCATAGCACTGCAGTGCATCACACACTGCGCTATACCACCACCCGAAGCAACCAGGATCACCAGGTCATCCTTACAGCCTTAAGTGCTGCCCCCTTCAGGAACGCATCACTACGTCCCACGGCCTAATCAGGCATGTGATTTCATGGCCTATCGACGGATTGCTCACAGAAGATTCGGTAAGGCCTGGGTCTGATGGACCCTGTAATCTTAAGAACACACTTCGCCGACTGAAATTTCTCTTGTGGTCCAAATATTAGTTATTAGCTAGTTAAATATTAGCTAGATTAGAGAGCTGCCTGCTGGCTGGAAGTCTGCTGGTTAAACAGAAAACTAATCCCAGAATTAACCCTTAAACGCCTTTAGTGCAGCTCAGTCAAACATGGACACACTGTATGAAATGTTCACTGGTGTCCCAATGTGCCCTCAGCGGCCAGGACGACCCCGCGCCGTTTTGGTGTCACTCACTGATTGATGACGAGGTCAGGGGCAAAGCAGAGCATGTTGCCATTGCACTGCTGGTAGGACCTCCACCCCAGGCTGAAGGACATAAGGAACAGCCAGGAGCACTGCAGCAGGGTCATCTGGTCATCAAGGTGAAGGTTCCGGAAGCCTGCGTGGGACACAGGCTATTACTCAATATGGGTACTTGTGTTCTTATGCACCAATTTTAAGCCCAGATCGAATACTAAGAACCGAAGTATAGAGAAGCGTAAAAAAATTGCCAGATGTTGTTCTTGCCCCTCCGCAAATTTCAAGCAAGCAGCGGTTGCATCCTTGCCGAACGAGACCAATCCCAGGGTCATCACAGGGGCAGTGAGCGGGGCCCATCACGCAGCGGGGCAGTGAGCGGGGCCCATCACGCAGCGGGGCAGTGAGCGGGGCCCATCACGCAGCGGGGCAGT